TCAAGAACCAAAATTGATGTTCATAGAATTGAATTTGAAATCATAATCAATGTGTTTGCATATCCAAATAAATCGATTAGTGTCGAGTAAAAGGCTACATAATGTACCCACAAATTATCCAAGCATCATAAATAATCATATTTTTCTTGTGTTTGTGTAATTAAATAGTTAGAATAGAAAACTTACAATTGGCTGAAAGAAAATTAGACATAAATACCAAAATAATAACCAAGAAATAAAAATATCAAATTTAACTCTTAAGTAAATTGGAGATAACATTCTTTTCTACAACGGATAACAAGATTGTCGTTAATTTACGCAAAAAGTAAGATGATCGAGAAGTCCATTAATATTGAGCCTTATATAATTCAAAGTAAAATATTTACTCACTGTGGGCCTGTTTGGGCCCCATTTTTTCATCCAAAAAATTGATTTTTTGATTGTTATTTTACTATTCCAGCCGTCATATTTGACTTCTTCTCTCACAAGTGGACCCCATTTTTTTCCTAACGGTCAAAAAATCAATTCTCAAAATCACTCTCAAACAGGCTCGTATCTTTTCTCCTTTGTTATTCTCTGTCCGTCCAAGTTGTTCCTCTCTCGGTTGATTACATCGTCTCTAAACATTGGTCGGTTAGCCGTGCTCATCTCATGCATTAGCGTACACGAACCAACAATATCTGTCTATACAATTTCAAAAAATAATTGTTGTACCAGCCAATACAGAAGTGTCTCATCTCTTCATAAGTAAAATATACTGACTCTAAGAAGTAAACACACGTCACAAGTTCATGTTGAACAAACTTACTTACTAGAGAACCTCCTAAGTATGGCTGAGTAAACATTCACCTTGAGCTAAGTTTAGATAAAAGTTTTTGATTGGTCATTTGTATTGAAATGTCATCAATGGTGTCTTCACCAAATCAAAATTATCGACCTCGATCAATCGTTAATCTACTAACACGGAACATTTTTTTTTGCTAGAACAAAGTCTTTGCAAAAAAAAAAAGGTTTAATTGCTAGGTAATTCCATACTAAATCTTAAAATACAGATAGGAAAATTATGTCCATAGAGGATTTATCAGATGAATCACTTTCATCTGTCTTCCTTGTATTTTCGTCAGCATAATCAGGCACTAACCCATTGCATTATCTCTGCTGCAGCTTCCTTGTAGATTTCTTCCACTGGGAAATGCTCAGATGGTCCATTTGCCTAGCACAAAAATAGGTAATCAAGAAGCAGAAATAAACAATTAATTAATGGTAAATTTTCTTGAAATACGTTAATTATTAACTCTAAGAATGAACAAACTTCAATCACAATATCCTATTATCCTTCAATCAAAGCAGCTTACTTTTGTCTTGTTTGCTAAATGTAAAATCCAAGCATGAATATTTCTGTGAGTTACTATAATATATGCAATTCAATGGTAATGGCACGGAAAATTTGTTGAAGTATCTAGATTGGATAAGTTTGTGTATTTAATCCGTCTTCAACATGACTCCTCACTTGCAGATGAGTTCATTTGTTGAGACGTGAACTCAGTGTAAGTGTTATGCCCT